CACACACACACACACACACACACACACACACACACACACCGGACAGCCTCTCAGTCCTTAGCCGCTAATGTTAGCTCATGTACAACACAGGTACCACACAGAAACTTTTACAAAGGGTCATAATGTGCTTCTCTTGAATGTCAAATCGCCAGCAAACGTTGTTTACACAGACATGGAGATCAGTGTGCCTGCTCTCATGGGACAAAGATCCTCTGAGAAGAAAGACGGTTCACTCTGCTCTGCCGCCAGGAACAAACTGGGAGGCAAATATCCTCTCTGAAAAAGAGGGTTCACTTTGCTGCAGGGTTCACCTACGTATATTGTTTCTCTTCTGATACAGTCAATGTGTGCATCACAACCACTGTAGTGTATTGCACAAAAGCTTTATAAGACGGTTACAGGCAGCAAAACTTGTGGATGTCCTTTGTTTACATTTTTTGTAGCCACTTCATTTAAATTGTCTGCCTTGTGATTAGATTTAATTTAAAATATTTATTTTGTATGTGTTGGTCAGGTAATGTTAAATAAAAGTACATGATGACTAATGTAACTGCTTTGGGGTCAATTCTTAATGTAAACAGTATTTTTAATAGTAATGCACCAGGTCAGAGGGTTCCTTGTTAAATATACTTCGTTGGTTCTCAGAAAATATCTTAATATCCAAGCAAATTCAATGTATCATAATTGAAATATACTTGACTGAATCGATTTTGAACTGAATTGAATCGAATCGAATCGTGAGTCGGATCGAACTGAGTCCTAGAAAATCGAATCGATCTAGAAAATCTGAATCGATACCCAGCCCTACGATATAAACATGTTATCCAGCAGATGTAAGGCGGAGCTGCTGATGTTGATGTTCATCAGCTGTCAGTGTTTGTCTGTTAGTAGAGACTCCACTCTGCAGTGTAGTTTATACAGAGAATTACACAGTAACACTGGGCTTCATCATCATCATCATCATCATCATCATCGTTTTCAGAGTTTTTGTCTGATTTTATTCCAAAGTTAGATAAACTTCTGATCCGTGGGGACTTTAATGTTCATGTCTGCTGTGCAGCCAATCAGCTGGCTAATGAGTTTAAAGGCCTCTTGGAGTCCTTCAGTCTCACTCAAGCAGTCAATGGTCCAACACATGGGTACACTCTTGACCTTGTAATTCCTCATGGGCTTCCTGTCTCCCTCAGAGATATAGTGGACACTACTATCTCCAATCATCTCCCCATTATTTTTGACTTTGCTGTTCCCCCACCTGCCAACAGGCCTGTTTCCCCTGCTCGCTGCCACCACATCTTTACCTCATCAACGGCTGGAGAGTTTGCTGCTGCCTTCAAGGACTCTCAGCTGTATGGTGACAGTGGGCTGGTTTCTCCCCTTTGCCCAGATAGCCTGCTCTCTGCTGACAGGCTGAAAGGCGGTGGAAGAAGGACAAATTACATGTTTCCTTGGGCTTATTAAGGGACAGTCTGGCTGCTTATCAGAGATCTCTGAAGGAGGCATAGTCTAAATATCTGTCCTCTATCATAGCTAACAGCTCTCATCATCCAAGGGTGTTGTTTAACACTATAGACTCTGTCGCCCAATCCCAAACCAGCCCCTATCCCCTTGCTCTATCCACTCCCCCTCCGTTTGCACGGTCACATGGAGCTCCGCCATATTAAGGGCCGTCCCAAACCAATTATCGCTGAGTGCGAGTGGACTGCTCAGCCATTAAATAGAAAGTGTGCATCAGTGCAGGCTTCTGATGAGCCCAGCAGGAAGCGCAACATCACAATGGAGGAAACAATGTACAAATGTGAGAGTTCCGTCTTTCTACTTTGTAAAATATTTTAGATCAAACACACAAATTTGTTTTCCTCACACTAACTTTACAGTCTCAAACAAACTCACAGAATGTTTGGTGTCAAAAGATGAAAACCTACATGTCCATATGCTTAAATAAACGATTTTAAACTGTCTAAAAAATTCCTCATCCCAGTCTCATGATTTTTATAAAAAAATATATAATTCTTTGTTCACAGGGACTGAAAAAAATCTACGAATTAAAAATGAGTCTCTTCACTAAAAAGAGGAATGCTACAAAGCAGGGATGGGAGTAACGGCCTGGACACACTGGACGCGGAACCAAAGTGCAGCGCCCAGCAGCGGAGGCAGTTTTCAGTCGGTGCCCATGTTAACCTATCTGACTGTCCACACAGGCTGCTGAGCAGAGCAGAGCCCCTGCGGAGGCTTGCGCACTGCAGCGCTTCAGTTCAACGTCTGGTCTATTTTCCACGTGAGCCGCGAGCGCTTCTATCAAGCTGGATAGAGCGGATCGTACCAAACAGGAAGTCGGACACAGAAAAGACAAGAGAATCTGGCCAATTTTCAAAATAAAATAAATTTAAAAAATAAAAGCCTGTTTAATTATGATGTTGCTTGTCCTTCTATAAATATTTGTTCAGTTTGGTCTAGACATGAGAGATGAAAACACACACACACACACACACACACACACACAGAGACAGAGACAGAGACAGAGAGAGAGAGAGAGAGAGAGAGAGAGAGATGGCTACAGGTTGGGGGTTGCAATTCACACATACAGAAAGAGAGGGGGTGGTAGAGATAAGTGAGAGGGACAGCGGCTTTCCGTGCCTCCAAAAAATATGCCCTATTCATTCAGTGTTTATCCAACACGCTCAATACATGGACATGCAACGACAAATTAACATTAACTTATTACATTATAAAAAACAATGAAAATATGGCCTTACCCATGTTTAAAATGACCTGTTGAAGTGAAAAAACAAGTACTGACGGGAACAGACGAGTGGAGTTGATGTTTAACCGGCACGGAGAGCGCAGCAGAAATGCGCTGCCTGTGTGGACAGTCAAGCACCTGCGAGGACACTCGCAGGACTTCCACGGCTCTAACGCGTCCGGTGTGTCCAGATTGCCCAGATTAATTCATGAAGTTCATCTGTAAATGTGTAAACTGTGTCTAGGAAATATGAACAAGTTAATGAATTTGATTACACTGCACTGTATCTCTTATCTGACTTATCCAAGTTTATTTTTGATTTCGTGTGACACTCGGTAGTGAAGTGGTAGTGGGTAGGGAGTGGTTTGGGATTGGGCCACATCATTAACCCATGCCCCACTGTCCTGTCTGATGCTTCCACTGCAACCTGTGAAGAGGGTTTTTTTCTTTTTTTTTTCTTACTGACAAAGTGGCATCTGTCAGGCAGAATACTAGTAAAATATCTATCTCTCCTGGTGATGTGTGTGCTCCTC